CACCCTATCGGGCGGGGCGGTAGAATACGCCGACTACACCTTTTAAGAGGGGTAAAAGAACCCCATATGGTCTTCCTAGCTATGACGATAAACTATATCCGCGTTCTGGGTAAGACGAAAAACCACGTCTAACAGCAAAGCCTCTGATCAGGTTTTGAGGAGTGTGGAAACATCTTTTAATTCTTGGTGTTCCCAGGTCCACCCTGGCCCGGGGTGGTAGCGCCTGTCAGGATCCCTGCTATGGGAAAATAGTTGACCCCCACAAAAATGGGGTTAAAAAACTTTGAAAGTATTAAAAAAATAGGTTTTAATAACAGCAATACTTTTTTGGAAAAAAAAATTACCAGTAATAAAAATCTTGTTGGCATTAAATAAGCCATTGAGGTTGATATACCGTAAAACAAACCAAATCAAACCATACAATATTTATAAGAATCATTTGGAAGAGATAGCTGTATCTATTAATCATCAAAAAGCCTCTTCGTCATCACTGTGTAAGATTAATTGTACTTTCGCTTGGTGAAATCATTTTATCTTCTCTCTATTTTCAGAATTCTGTTTTTATTTTTATTATGTTGTGGTAGGATCCACCTAATTTGCATAGTGGAGTACCGACCATATAAATATGGTTGGTACCGGGAAAAGAAAGGAGGGATCGAGAGATTCAACCAGAGACTCTGCCCGACTACGACTCAGTCAACACATTCTCCAGGAACGGTCTTATCAGGAATATACAAAAGACTATATGTAAATATTGTGTACACTTTCTTGTTTCAATACATTTTGTTCTAAGTACATTTTGTGTTGCATTATTATTCCATGCATTAGTCAAGTTTCAACACATTATATGATATATATTTCAGATTATGGTCTTCACCTTAAATGGCTCTGGGTCCAAAGATTTGGTGGTTATATTATGAGTTATCAGGAAAATTCATGCTGATTTTTAATCGAAATTCAGCCAGTCAGTTGTGTGTCATGAGTGATACACGCGTAGGCAATCATGTATCTTTCGATACATGACTGACAAGGAAGATTTTTTCGTGCAGTAGGTTGTCATTTCTTTCTGCGATCCAAAGCTATAGAACCCGGTCAGTCCTGCTGTTTGACCATAGATAGTGGGGGGGGGGGAGAAGAAGAGGATTCATACCTTTCCCAAGGGTATTAGCACGTAAGTGTACGTAATGGAATTCAAATTCGGCTGTCCGATTCCTCTATCCGAGTCGCTATCCATTACTCTTTCGTAAAACACTTAATTATTAAATATTTCAGCGAAAAAAAAACTTTATTAAAACAAAAAAATATTAAATATTTAAGAGAAATTAAAATACTTAATATTAAATATATATTCATCATATTATGAACCATTTTGTTGACCAACCTTTCTCCATGTTTCCGTCAACTTAAAGATTCCATCTTCCGATAAATCTTCGGCAAAGAACACATTAAGGTCGTTTATTATGTCACCCAAAGAATTAAAATTTTTGCCATTGATATTATTTTGCAAGAACTGGAACAAATGAAAATGCGAAGGTGCAATGTCTGGTGAATATGGCGGATAACACATCCGAGCCAAGCTGCAACAAATTTTGCCGCGTCACCAAATAAACGTTTTGTGATATGAACGAACACTCGTTTGACACTTTTGAATGTCAACGAATAATCGCCGTCACTTTCGTAATGCTTGTTGTAGTAGAGACTTTGTAATTGCATATACAACTAAAATACGCCGTTAAAAAATGCTGATGTCAGACGCCTTCGAATAATCTCGCGCTAACAGTACTTCGTGTAGTTATCCGAATCGAGAAATAGTATAATGTATAGAGAATAACGGTCAGTATAGTATTAGATGATAGACTAAAAATGAGGATCCGAGTAATAATAGAGGATAGACTAGAAATAGCGTCCAATTAGACACACGCTACCTCACATATACGCGTTTTCTCTATGGTCACGTAGTCTACTTAATTCAATAATGGGATCGCCTATGTTTGCTCACTGGTGATCTATGTTCAAACTTAAGTGTCGGCAGCGGCACTTTATTCCTATATAACAAAACATGAATCTGGCACTATCTTGATAGAAAACAATACGTTTCCCGTTCGCCAATTCTGTCCAATTTCGAGCAGTACTTTTCAGAAGCTCATAGTACAGGACTCCTTTGCAATCATGCCACAAGTACAGCATGACATCCTTAACATGAAGACCTGATTTTGATGTGGCTGACGTTGGATGATGTCGCTTACCCCAGAATCTTCTTCACTGAACATAGTTGTAAACGTTCCATTTCTCATCATTTCATAGCGTTTATACATCAAATAACAGATGAAATTCGACCCAAAAGATTTTTTTCACTCAGATCATGTGGTACCCAAACATCGTAGCGATTTGAGTACCCAAGAATCACGAAGTGCTCATGGATGGTTGATTTTGATAAAATTAGTGGTTCTGTAATTCCCGCGTTGTGCAATGCGGATTATTTCCAATGTTTTGACTTGGCCGTCACCTGTAGTGTGTGTGGGGTGTCGGGGTGAGCCTCAGCGTCTTTGTCAGTGTTCTTTGTCAATAAAGCTACAACCACCAACTCAAAATTTAGCAAACCACTTCCGTACAGTTCTGTCAGCTAAAGCACCTTCACCTCCCGGAGCACACACCTTTTTTTGTTACTTGCGAAGCATTTCCGCCTTTATGGAAAAAAAGCATCAAATTTCTAAAATGCACTTTGTAATGTTTCATTTTCATAGGGATGCAAAATTGGCTCGAATTAAGTAATTTTTAGATATTTTGAAGTGTGTTCTAATCGGAAATATAAGCATAGTATATCTGGCGATATATTTGACGTAGTCTAACATGTTGTAACGTTAACGACTAAAAATTGGCATGGACTTTCCTGATAACAAAATTCTTCAACTGCGAGTTAGGAAGTGATATACACTTGTCTTTCGAGGCACTGAAATTCTGAATAAAAACAAACGCATGTAAGATGAAGAGCCAAAAACTGCATATACCGAAATTGCAAGAAGAATTATTAAAAAGAAATAAGAGAATATAAATCACTATTGTTACATTGATATGTCAGTCTGGTCGCTACTTTCCTATGCGTTCCCATTGACTAAGATTAGGTTATTAGGATATAATCAGAAAATATGTGGTACTCAATGAAGATGAAGCTGACTATTGCAAAATTTAGCATGTGACACTTGTGTTATTAGATCGATTCGAGAGCGCCATTCTCTTTCGTCCTACTACTTAAGGTTGGCTTGGATCGTTAGAGGACAAAATTGTAAGAGGCTGGTGCGTAGGGAAGACGTAATTTTCTAATTTCATGTCGAGAATGACTTGCTGCATAAATCCTCTTTAGTATCGTTACATAAACGTCACCTCTGAACTCATGAGAGTCGATTATTCTTGAGAATGTCATTCGGCCTCGACACTGAGCAGATGCATATGCTTATATATATATATATATATATATATATATATTAAATTTGGGCAGGCAGCAAATCCTCTTTTATACAAGTTTCGTTAAGTTTTCTTTTTGTTATGAAAGTTGTAGTGTTACTTCGTTTGTTGGCTGCCGGGTCATGTAATTTAATAATTGTGTATTTGGGCAGAAATCCCCCTTACACACACACAAAGATACACACATACACATGCTCACACACGCGCACACACACGTACACACACACACACACACATAGAAACACACACATGTCTATCTATCTATCTATCTATCTATATATATATATATATAACGCTCTTCATAGAAAATGACTTGAGCACTATGACTGTCTGGCGTGTGTTTACATTTGTAAAAAATAATACAGTAGAATTTCCTTTTACCGCTGCCATGCTCTGGGGTAAAAACTGATGCCAAATCGGTCGTGTTTCGATCCCAGTTGAAGCAATCGATGTCTAGCCGCACTGATGAGCTGTGATACAGCAAAACAGGCCCGTATGTGGATATTATATATATATATATATATATATATATATATATATATATATATATATATATGTGTGTGTGTGTGTGTGTGTGTGTGTGTGTGTGTGTGTGTGTGTGTGACATGCAAATCTTCCATTGACGTTAGCGATCAATTTCTTAGTTAGTTGGTCAGCCGAAGATAGCATTGGGGCATGGAACGTACAGTCATCATTCAATGTTGATTCCTATGTCAACAGCGTCTATATCTATAAAACTCTATCACGGCTATTGAACATGCCTCTATTAATACTAAATAATATATGTGCGTGTTTATATGTGTCTCTTTATGTGTGTCTGTGTGTATGTGTGACTTGACACATCGAATTGTCTGTTTCTTTGATAAAACCTTTATCAATCAGGTTCGTGTTTCTGTACTGCGTGATCCTTATTCCATGAAACATTTTCTTTCGTCGAAATTACTCATCTTTTTTCCCAATTATATATAACATACATAAATACATATATTAATATATAATACACCCACACCCACAGAAGCAAATATATATATATATATATATATATATATATATATATATATATATATATATATGGGAGAACAGAATGTGGACATGTGAAGAGAATTGCGCATAGACATTTGGAAATCTGAAACACGCTTCAAAGCCTAACAAATAATGTTTCACATAAAACTCCTATTTCATATCGCAGCAAAAGCCACGCAACCCATTGCGCATGTCACAATAACATGCGTGCATTCGTGCAATTTGATGATGCGTGCAGTACATTTTCTAACAATGAAATGCACACAAAAAGACATATTTTTTTTATTTAAAAGAAGCCTACATTGGCACAATAATCTATAAGACAGACTTCGACTACTTACTAGTTTCGAGATATGGCGTCAATCATATTTACATTGTGAATTTACTTATAATGCATTAAAGAAAAAAAAATCGCAAGATACTATATTCTATTTTTTATACTCCATATCCCTTAAATGCGTTGGCGATCAAGGTTCTTCACAACTTCCTATCCTTTGCAGCCCTTAGTTTATTAGCTTGCGGCCATATTACATTGAAATCCCAGTTCTTGTAAAATCGTCGAAGTTAAACCACATCGAGCTTGGTTAGTTCCTAGATGGGTGACCGCTTGGGAATACCAGGTGCTGTAAGCTTGGATCTGCAAGTGGTATAATGGTTAATGGCAGAGTTCCAATTCCACCTAGGTTTGTTATATTAACATACCCGCAAATCTTCGGAAAGGTGTGCATCCATTTCTTATTCTCCCAGCTATGGATTAATTAGTTAGATTTGTATAACTAAACAATTATTATCTCCCAAAATAAAATAAAATTAAATACAAAATGTTTAGATTAAATTAAATGACCCACATAGGTCGATATGCCACTAAACAAAATCAACCAATCAAAAGGTCGATATGCCACTAAACAAAATCAACCAATCAAAAGCTTAGCCAATGTTGTCTTTTGTCTATCGCTCCCACTCCGCTATAATTCCACCCAGCACTAGTCACACGGTCAGTGAAGGCCTAGCGATGTTTCCTTATAAGGAAACAGCTACATTATTTTCATTATTCGGACTATTGTCCCCATCTTTGTCGCCATATTTATTACAACGTTTCGGCCATTGTACGCTCCAACCTTCTTCAGGTGGTTGAAAAGTCGAAATTAATCCTTTATTTCGCTCACTGTGGTAGACAATTCTAGATCCACGTGCCATGTTTAATGGATGTCGGTTATCAGTTATCTCCTGTTAATTTACCCTCTGAAAGTTTTGACTTAACCAGTCATGTCACTGAATCTAACCAACGCCTTTATCCACTGTGTCATGTGTCCTTGAGGACATCTGGGTATGAATTTCTGGGTATTATAATCTTAATGTCTTCAGCAACCATTTTTACCAGTGCTCATATTGTTAATAATATAATTATCATATCTATTTACATGATCATGTTCAATATGTTATTCCGTCAGTCCATCTGTATGAAAAAAGATGTCCCTACCTTCATTTCTCATGATCTGTCGTAGAAATTGCCACCGTCTCTTCCAGATTCTAAATATAAGTGTTATTTATGATTTGGTTAGGCTTGTTGCTTACATGATTAGCCCATAATATCCCCAGCAGCCTTCTGTAGAACGTCTCTGTTTCCTCAGTACTCTTCTTCATCTGCGAGATGAGTGTCCAGTATTTGCTGATATATAAGCTGGATTGATCTTAATGAATTAATTTCTCTCGAAATTTTCATGTTTCTTAATACATTGTTTACCTTTTTTAAGGCATCTTTCGCTATGCCAATAGGCCTTTCGATTTCACTGTCTCATTTTCTGTCGACTGTTGAAACAAATCCCAGTTAGTTAGAGTTCTGTATTTGCTTGAATTAGATATCTCCCAGTTGGAGTAATGGATTGCGTCTCGGGTTGAGGAATCGGAGAGCTGAGTTCTAACTCCAGTCGGATTCAATACAGTAACTTACATGGGAAAAATATGAATCCATATCTCCCCTCCCTACCTATCTCTGGGTAAATTAGTAGGACAGGCTGGATTATATAGCCTTTGGTGGCAACCTGTCTAAGAGAACTCCGAGTCCTAACAAGAGAGGTTTGGGATCCTTCGTACTATCCTTTTTAGGAAAAAAAACATTTCTACTACGGTTGCAGTACATGTGGTGACACTATGACTCTGATAAGTTACAGGACTTGTGATTGATCGTGAATTAGTAGCCCTGATTTTCCGCTGTTTCTCTTGGTAAAAATCAGATATAGAATCGTCATACCGTTAATGGTTATTCCTTTTGTCCAGCTTTCTTTTATAGCCTTCCTTAAAATTCTTTTTTTTCGGCGTCAAACATCAATACAGTTTTGGTATATGTCTTCCACTACGATGTGGATTAATGACGGACTAAATCTTATAAAATTTGGGTTCATGCCTTATATAAATAGAAGAAACCACTGCAGAAGTTTAAACAAAGAATCCAAATTCATTCGTAAGTTAAAATTTTTGGCATCTTGTTCATGGCCTCTATTTGAGGATTAATAAAAGCCAGCAATCTCTTCGAGGTAAAAACAGAGGTCACGGCCCGAGAAATACCCATGTATGAAATTTCTGTTAACTGATATTGATAAACGAAGATGAAGACACCAGACTCCGACGTTTTTATATAATCAGATGAAGGCAGCAAGGACATCGAAATTCAATACGCAAATGCTTTTTCTTCTATGTACCGTTTATCTTCAGATTTAAGGAGATTATAGCTCTACACTATTTCTATAGATTGTAGCTCTTAATAAATGTTGTATTTTTGTTATTTATCTTAAATCTTGTTCCGCCTTCCACTGACTCAAGAAGGTTATGCGTTGTTTTCCTATGTCTCTTTTGCCTGCAATCTGTCCTGTGAATATCACATTTTCTAAGCCATCTTTCCTCATTATGTACCCTAAAAATTCCAATTATCTCTTCTTTCCATTTGCTATCAAAATTCGTCGTTGCTCACATATTCGGTCTATGGTATTTTTTTAACCTAGGGAATGTTCACTATTTATAAATTCATCTTTGTCGCCATATTTATTACAAAGTTTCGGCCTTTGTACGCTCCGGTCTTCTTCAGGTAGTTGGAATGTCTAACTGAACCCTTTATTTCGATCACCGGGGTAGACTGTTCTAGTTCTACGTGTCATGTTTAATGGATGTAAGTTATCAGTTATCTCCTGTTAATTCCCCTCTCCAAGTTCTCCACTGCCTTAACCGGCTATTGAACACTTTGGGTCCTGTCACTGGATCTAACCAACGCCTTTATTCTCTGTGCCATGTGTCCTTGAAGACCACTGTGTATGAATTTCTGGGTATTATAAACCTAATGTATTCAGCATCATTTTTTACCAGTGCCCATATTGCAATTTTTGAAATTCCAAGTGAATTCCACAATGAATGTCCTACTGCTGACAAACATACAGTATTCACTACTGTATTTATGAGACATAACCATTATCGTTCGTAGGTATGCCACAACTGATATTCTCAGCATCCTTCTGTAGAACCACATCTCTGTTGATTTAAGTCTCTTATTCATTTCTAAGCAGATTGTCCAGCCTTTACCGTCATTTGGGAGGACGGATATCACGTAAGTGTTCAGTATCTTTTTCTTTGTTTCTAACGATTGAAAGCACGCGTTACACATTAAGCAGATCCGGTGTGCACAACAAATCGTAAACCAAATGAAAAGAAATTGCGCATAAATAGAAATAAACGCAGAAATAAAGGCAGGTGAATGACACAAAATGCAAATATATGCACATAAAGAAAAGAAAAACAAACAAAAAATACGGTCCGTTGTGGATCACGCACGCATGAAGGAATGTGTAATCTCTAAGGAACGTCAACAACTTAGCGCGTACACTGGCATGTGTGAGTAGAACGCATGCGCAGATATTACCCATCCCATCTTCACCGTATTGCGCAAGGGTAATATGTTTGAAGTTTCTCACGTATTGGCCTTGAGATACACTCTTTAGGCAGAGGAATTTATATAGATTCTTATTTTCATTGCCATGCAAAGATCTTCCTGTCTGTTTTTATCTTTTTTCGTAAACATTAAAAATAAGGAAATGCATCTTCCGCCTTGTATGAAATCTTGTTTTGAATTCGTATGCAATGCCTATTCGAATATCAAGGACACTTCTTGTTAAACATAACAAGCCTAGACATGTCTTACTATGAATTCCACTGTATGGAAAAAAAAGGATGGACATGCTATGTGCTACATCTTTTTGTTGGGTATCGTGGATTCCTTGGACTGCTAATCGTTTCCTTCTTTTTGAAGGTGGGTATTACTGACCGCAAAATGAAGCGTGCTTTTCATCGTCTCTAGACCACAGCTCAACAGGCCTCGAGTTGGATCTGATCATGATCCAAGCTAAATAAACTTAAAGAAAACCATGCACGCAACACAGTACTACTTCCGACTTGAAACACACCTGTTTACCTTCCATTCAACATCCTTAATAACGGTCACTACGTGTGCGTTGTGTATTTTAACACAGCGTTGAAATTCACAGTTGCAGTTGTAAAAAGAAATCGCAAGACACTGACACGTATACAAAAACAATACTCTGTCCGGTGGCAAAAGCTGCTGGTCCCGCCATTATATATATATATATATATATATATATATATATATATATATATATATATATACATTCTTTTTTTATCGGTAAAGCACATTAGGCTATATGACGATTCTTTATAAGATACAGGTTCGATTCTCGTCGGAGGATGCATATTTTCTATGAAAATTTCTCGGACATTCAGGCCGGTAAATGTCGTTAATACTGTTTATTATAAACAGAGCATTTACTTATATATTTGTATCTATAAAAAGAATGTATAAACATAAAAAATGTCTTAAAATAATTGTCGGACTTCATTTCATAATATATATTACTATAATTTTCACTTTGGTACCGCCTTGCCTATTCTATTTGTCTCACCAATTGTTAAGCACATTCTCATGTATCCGCTACAATGGAACTTTTTCGAAGATACGGATAGTTAAGGATTATAAGGAAAATGTTATCGAAATTAGCAATAACATATTACGCCATGTTGAACGTTTAAATGTTAAATATGGTATAAATAAAAGACAAAGTCTGGTTTAATTCTGCCCAGTATATCCAGCCTATGATATCTCGTGAAAATCAAACGCACTGTACTCTTAATCTGTCCGTGAAAAGAGATTGGTAGCTATTGTCTAGTAGCAAGATGAATTTTTACTTCACAATATAAGACGTGTTTTTAGTGGGGAAGTGGCTTTACTTTTTAGTTATCTCCCTTTTTTATCAGCGACAATGGCTGATAATGACTGACATTCCAAGATGATAAAGATGGACAAAAATCGATTTAGTGAAATACCTTGGTTAAATAATAAAAATAATGGAAAATATATTATAATTTCATTTTTTATGGCATGGATGAACTCGAATTAAAACGATATCGCATACAGATAAATTCGTCACATCAGTCTACGAGTTATATCACTACTATGTAACACAATACTAATTTCTAGGTTGTCTGCACCTGAATCAGTTACCCAGATTTAAAAAAGAAAACCTGTCAAATCTGGGAGGGTTATGTTGTAGAGTAGTTTTCACAGTGGAGGC